TTCTAGGTCTAGTGTTAGTTCTAGTTTTAGTGCAATAAAAATATACAACATAGTGATATCTAACACATTTAATAAAGAATACATCATGAAAGAACACCATGAAGTTGTCCAATTGTCTATTATATGATAACTAACTTCAGATTTAAAATATCAACCCCAATTTTGACATATTTGCAATCTTCATTAAAAATCCTTTGAAATGAGTACAAACACGACATATTTATCTTCAATATTAATAAAGTTATGGTCAACTTTCAGTTACAAATGTCAATTTTGACATATTCGTAATTGTCGTGAAAAATCCTTTAAGATGACAAATATGTCAAAATTGACGTTGATCAAACCGGAAGTGATTGTATTTCCATTAATATTAAAGTTAGATATGTCGAGTTTGGACTCATTTTAAAGGATTTTTTATGAGCTTGACAAATATGTCAAAATTAAAAGTTGAAAGTTCGAACTTTTTGGTTTTTTGAGATAAATGCGTCAAGTTTGAACTCACTTTAAAGGTTATTTTATGAAGATTACGAATATAATAATAAAATTAAAGTTGACATTGACAACTGAAAGTTTTTTTTCACGACTAAACCCGACTGTTTCTAGTTCTAGGTGTTGTGTTAGTTCTAGCGATCGTGCTAGTGTAAAACTAGAACTAACACTAGACCTAGAACTAGGGTGCGTCTTCAGACTTTTCTAAGTTCTTGTCTAAGACGCCCGGCTAAACCTAAAACTTTCTAGTTCTAGGTCTAGTGTTAGTTCTAGTTTTAATTGTTATTTAACCCTAAATTCTCGTACATTTTAATTGATCTAAAAATATTTTTTTTTGATTTAATCCACTTACCTTGCTTATAATTTCATCCATTTACCCATTTTGAATTAAATACAACCTTTAAATCCAATTAATTATGTGTTTTTCATTAAAAAAACTTAAATTCAACGTCAATTTTGACAAGTAACTGCAATATTTGGATCTTAATCGCCATGGTAACCGAGTCATGTTGGATAACCTTAAAATAATAAAATTTTATTCCGATTTTTTTATCAATTCTAACCTAATTAAAAATATCTTTTTTTTTCATTTAATCCACTTACCTTGTTTATAATACCCTAGATAAACCAATTTTGAGTTAAATACAGCTTTTTTAAACCAATTAAATAAGACTTTTTCCTCAAAAAAAACTTAAATTCAATTTCAATTTTGACAAGCACCTGCAATATTTGGATCTTAATCACCATGGTAACCGAGTCAAGTTGAATAACCTAACAATAATAAAATTATAACCGTTAATATTTCGCTTTATAGTTTAATATTTTTTTAATTTTATTTTATATTTTTGTATATCGCTTCTTAAGTGAAATACACTGTATAAATAAAAACGTAGAAATGTAAATTCTTCCAATGACGTCACAGCAAGGCCTTTGCGCGGTGATAACCTTATACAGTATGTTTACTTAGCGGACCTTCAGTTTCATTATCCTTATTTAGTTTAATAATTTAAAATTATTTACTAATCAAATTTATTATAAATTAATAATTCAAACAAATCAAATCTAAATTTTAGGTTTATTTTTTTTAATACCAACCTTAATTTCTTAAATTCCCTAAACGCTTTCCATCCATTTTGACAGCTTTTTAACCAGTGTCGTGCGGTCTTACTTTCTTACGTTTATCTCTGAATAAAAGTTTAATTCATCAAAAATGACTTCAAGAACGGCTGGAACAACCCGCCGCGTACCCGATAATGATACAACGATAGCTTACGTTCAAGCGGACGGTTTAGTAAGTATATCGATATTAATTTGAGGTTAAGTCGCCTTATGTCTGTTATAAACCCAACCCTAGGCTGTAATGAAAATGGTGAAACATTGTCATGAAGAAGCCTCCGGTAACATGGATATAGCTCAAGGTGCTCTGCTAGGTTTGGTGGTTGAAAATCGATTGGAAATTACCAATTGTTTCCCATTTCCAAAAACTCCCGATGAAAATATGGATGAAGATGAGTATCAATTAGCAATGATGAGACGTTTAAGAAGAGTGAATGTCGATCATTTTCATGTTGGTTGGTATCAAAGTGCTGATGTAGGGAATTTTTTGAGCTCACCCCTTTTGGAGTCTCAATATCATTATCAAACTTCTATTGAAGAATCTGTTGTGGTTATTTATGATACCCAAAAGTCTTCAAGAGGATTTTTAACATTAAAAGCTTATCGTTTAACTCCTCAAGCTATTGAACTTTATAAAGAAGGAGAATTTACAGCTGAAGCATTATTAAAATTAAAAGTTGGATATGAAACTTTATTTACCGAGGTTCCCATTGTTATTAGAAACTCTGCTTTAACTAATATTATGATGTCTGAGTTATCTGAGATGGTTCCTGAAGAAGAGGGATCAAAATTTTTGGATTTAGGAACTGCTTCGGTTTTGGAATCCCAATTAAGATGCTTAATGGATCGAGTTGATGAATTGAATCAAGAAGCCATTAAATTTAATAGATACCAACAATTATTGAGTCGTCAACAACAAGATAAACATCGTTATTTGCAAAAGAGAGCTCAAGAAAACGCCGCTCGAGTCGCTAAAGATGAAGCTCCATTACCAGAAGAAGATATCAATAAGTTATTTAGACCTCACCCTGTTCCACCGAGGTTAAATCCTATGCTTATTGCGGGACAAATTGCTACTCATAGTCAGCATATTGCACAATTTTGTTCTCAATCTTTGGCAAAATTATATATTACTCAATCTTTACAAAATGCGAAAGAATCTAGTTCAAATCACTAGAAATAAATTGGAATTAAAGAAGTTTTTAATAAAAAAATCTTTTTAATTGTATTATTCTTAATTAAAAAATACAATTTTTTTTAATCACTATCTTCACTTGATTCTGAGTCTTTTAATGCTTTCGATCTATCCAATTTTCGTCCCCTTTTTCCTTCAAAATCTGAACCTTCCTCATCTGATGAATAAATAGCACCACCTTTAAAAAAATAAAGAATGTATAAAAGAATAATTTCATAAAACAAGTAATTACCTTTATGCGGTGTTGTATTTATAACACTTCCTGATTTATATTTATTCTTAATAGCATTAAGTGAAATAGCTCCGTCTTCATCACTTCCTTCTTCCTCTCTATAAGTTGCACTGGTAACGTGACTTCGACTGCTGGTTGGATCGCGAGTTCTTTTTGGTTTGGGGCGGGAAGTTTGGCGCAGTTTTTCTTCCTCTTTCTAAAGAATTAATTTATATAAAAACACAGTAGAACCCCGATTATCCGTCTAATTAATTCCGGCGATACATCTCGACAGCGCCAACGTAAATTGTTTTTATGGGTGCTTGAGGTTGGGCTCTTTAGTTGTAGGTTGTTACCNTAAAAAATACAATTTTTTTTAATCACTATCGTCACTTGATTCTGAGTCTTTTAATGCTTTCGATCTATCCAATTTTCGTCCTCTTTTTCCTTCAAAATCTGATCCTTCCTCATCTGATGAATAAATAGCACCACCTTTAAAAAAATAAAGAATGTATAAAAGAATAATTTCATAAAACAAATAATTACCTTTATGCGGTGTTGTATTTATAACACTTCCTGATTTATATTTATTCTTAATAGCATTAAGTGAAATAGCACCGTCTTCATCACTTCCTTCTTCCTCTCTATAAGTTGCACTGGTAACGTGACTTCGACTGCTGGTTGGATCGCGAGTTCTTTTTGGTTTGGGGCGGGAAGTTTGGCGCAGTTTTTCTTCCTCTTTCTAAAAAATTAATTTATATAAAAACACGGTAGAACCCTGATTATCCGTCTAATTAATCCCGGCGATACATCTCGACAGCGCCAACGTAAATTGTTTTTATGGGTGCTTGAGGTTGGGCTCTTTAGTTGTAGGTTAGTACCGACTTAGTTGTTGCGTATTTCGGGTGAAAGTGTCGCATCATTATCACGAATCTATGAAGTTGGAAAATAAACAGTACGAGATATCAAAAACAAAGTAAAACTTCAAAATTTCATATCTCAGTCTGACTCTTTTAAAAACATATCTACACGAAAATCAATGAAGGCTCATCTTTCAACAACTTGATGAAGCGCTTTCCAAGTGGTTTCTTCAAAAAAGGTCGGAACCTAAGTCGGGTTTTAAACAAGCAGAAATTTTTCACGAACATTTGAAGATTAATGAATTATTCAATGCATTAAGTGGTTGGTTGCACCGATTTAAAAAACGTCGCTAGTTTCGTGAACTTGCTATTCAAGGCGAAAAGCTCAGTGCTGATGGAGAAGCGATGGTAGCGTTTTTTTATGAGGTTGAGAACATAATTAAGAAACATAATCTACAACCCGTACAAATTTACAATACCGACGAAACTGGGCTATACTATGCCTACTAAAATGTTGGCTGCAAGTAATGATGATGTGATGACATAATGATAACAGTGATGTGTTGTGCCAACGCAAGGTTTTTATATTAAAGGTTGTCTAAGTTCCTATGCTGCAATACTTTGATTTTAGTTTGTGGGCAAGGGGCAAGAGCAGGAGTGTTTCATGACGTAAGCGATCACGGATTGCGCACGCAACCTCATGGCCATGTGGTGCACCATGCATTTGTTTAATTTGAATTGCTTGGCGGTATTATTTTCCACATGTGACGTAATGCGCAGTATGGTTGCGTACGAACCTAGACAACCTTTTATATATAAACCTTGGTGCCAACGCGCCTGGCGGCCATGAACTGAAACTGACTGTGATAGGAAAGTCAAAAAATCCACGTGCTTTTAAAAATACGAATACACACACTCT